TCCTAGTACTTACACGCAAACGCTCTTTATATTCCAAGACGCTAGAACACGTAGACACCCGACTAAAATTTGATGACGTTTACCGCCTGATGGTTGGTTCTTCATGCCAATAGTCTTTCTATTGAAACAAATCCACTCAACATTGGCCAAACTAGGCACACTTTCTGAAACTCAATCTACAGATGAGTTGTCTCTTCTACTCGTGGACTTCATTTTCATTGGTCATTAGAAATCAATCACAATTCAAAATGAGCGTTTGAGTACATATATTCAAAAATAAGCAGATTTTCATAATTTATCTATTTAAGAATATGTCTACGAGAGGATTTTCCAAAATTCAAATTATTTTCGGAGATAAACATATTTTTCTGAGTAGGCATCCAAATCGGTTGAACTGCAACTAATCGAACAATAGACATATTGGGGTCTCCGACTACCTGAATCTATGTTTCATAGTAAGCCCGTTTGTTTCGTTACATCTATCTATCTATGTTACTATATATATATATATATATATATATATACATTTCACGGCAATAGATTTACGGAACAGGAAAACACCAGTTTTACGAGTGCATCAGCAGCAAAATTGGGAAGATCAAATGATGACAAAGTAATTATAGATAATAATTACGGCTACTGTGTTTTGGAGTTTTTTACGGTCTTTTCAGCAATTTATTCATTTATGTCGTGTAGTACATACAACAACGAGGTTATATTTTCAAGAACGGCTCAACGCTGACTCGGGTTCAAAATTCCATTATAATGGAATTGCAATGTCTACGCTACATTCCATCATGTCCATTCGTTGACAAATAGTTCGAAGTTTATCATCAGAAGAATTATTGATTCGATGTTTGGTTTCAGAAACTCAAAATAATAATGTGTCTCTAAACTCGTTGATAAGGACTTTCGCTCCAAAGCATGTCCATTCCGGGTCTCAGATCATTGAAATTGCAACATTTATTGCTGTGTATATTTTTAATGATGACTTTATACCGATATTGAAGATAATGACGATTATGGGAGTGAAAATTGGTCGAGAGGCGCATGCATTTGCTGTCAGACAAGACAACGCCCGGATTGACCACTCCAAGATACAAGCATCCAGCTCATCAAAGGAGGCCAGAGCTGCTTAAATAGAAAACAGAGACGCCGAAAATATATTATTCGAATTCGAGAAAGGTGCGATATATTCAGCAGAAATGGCAGATTGAATAAATGTACGTTAAAAATATAATTTTATGACTTAGACCGCAAAATTTTACTTGAAACTTTAAACGCGTTTTTCTCGAAACTGTTGTTTTGAATCTGATACCCACGATTTCTCATAAGTTACTTGAAATTTTAAGAATGGGAGTTGTCTATGTCCGGAAATACGGCCATCCCCAAAGTTTTATCTTTACAATTTTTAAAAAAAATCGCAGAATGTTCAAAAAGTGGTACAAAAACGTTTTTTTTCTTTTGACAGTCGCCATTTTGTAATATATATATATATATATATATAACTTTTTCGTAGTTTCGGACGTAATTTTAGATTGATAATCTTTTTCATACTTTGATTTCAGATTGCTTGGTGAGTTAAAATCGTGGGTATGGTCACGCACCATATTTTTGAGATGCCCCACTGCATCAGCTGATAACTAACAGAATTTTAAATTTTTTATTTCTTTTTTGTATGCTTCTTAGGTGAATAAAACATATATAAAAAATAGATAATAAAAACATTGCTTGCTTTTTTTACAGCAATTCAAAAATGACCTAAAATTCATGCCTCTAGACCAGAATATCCCCCTTAAAATCGGAGTCTCTTACTGTGGTCTTTTTGATTCCTACCCTGCAATAAGTACACATTTCAACAGTTATTGCTTTACAGATAAGAGTTAAATTAGATGCAAATGTATTCACATGTTCACCTGATTCCAACATTGAAGTGACTAAACACCATGTCGGTTTGTTTGCAAAACTTGAAAATAGCTTCTTTGTAAAGAAAGGTTTCCTAGTAGCTTTTGGCAATGTTTATAAACTCGCTTTCACTGATGAATATATTTCGGAATATTGAATAGGAATTAACAGTATTCTTCCATAAATCTGTCAGAAGTTAAAGGTCACTGTCTAGGATGTTCTCCTAGTTGGAAGAACACCTTCATTCTTCTATGATCGAAAGATGATTTATTATCACGTAACAAGTCCTGATGGAGGTAGATGCAAATAATTCGTTTCTCAAAATATTGACAATTTGAGAAAAGGAGATATTGCAGTAGTCTAGACCATCTTTTCTACGAAGGTAGCAGCTGAACTCAAAGTAAGGGATGCAATTTCTCTCTTTTTAAATAACTACATCTATTTCATCTTTTCTCGGATCAAAAACTGAGTGTGTGGCTGAGTGGCTAGTAAAACTATGATCGACTTGTAATAGTTTATGTGCCTTCAGGATTATCTCCCTCACCTTCATGGCCTTCACGAAAGATGTCTCATTGGTGGAAAACTGGTGGTTCCTATATTGGTAAATAATATTAAGTAAATTTTCGTCTCTTAGGTCGCCTCAGGCATAAAAATTGTTGCTCATACGATTTTATTATTATTATTTATTAATGTTTTCGTGTGAACACGTTATATGGAAGTTTGTCGTGATTTTTTCGCTTATTGATTTTCCGGTCTCACCGGTTAGTTTGTCTAGTGGGTTCTCAACTGCAAGAAACTGTTATTAACGCTAAAAAAGTCATATTTTGTAAATATGGATCCAGTTGTGTGGGAATATATGTCGACCACAATTATTTTTATTTAAAAACCATCGGAAATGCTTCTAATTTACGGAGCCATTTTTCTATTCCTCAAGAATAAAATTTTTTCTGTGAATTCAAGGTAATGTTGAAGTATAAATGTATGAAAAATAGAATGCATATTGTGAGAAAACAAAACGAAAAAGCATATAATGAGAATTTTATTATATTTTTTCAAAAATAAAACTGTCAAAGTAAAATAATAGAATGCAAAAATTTTCTCAGAAATATACTTGTATCAATAGATAAATAAGCAAACGTGCATTTACAAATTGAGGAAAAGTAATCCCTTCTCATAGGCATCTAAAAGATTCATGCCTTACTGTATATAACGGGGATTGGCATTCATCGTCATCAAGTGGTAGACGAATTTTGTGAATGACTTGCCCACTTCCATTCAACAGATATTCATCACACATTCCCGAGTGTTGTTCTTTCAACTCCCCTTTTGGAACACGACATCGGTGCACAAGGGGATATTTGTCCATGAGCGTTCTACAGTTCTGGGCTAGTGGCCACTGAAATCCCTCTCTAGCGTGTGACCAACTGTGAGATTTACAAACTTGTTCCTTTGAACCGTAGTAGGATTTAAGGAGATTAACTGGTCGTTTCGGTACTGGAAACCACTCCTTGCCAAGCGGACGATAAGCCAAGGGGAATATATCACTCAGAAAATATCTTGTACTGTGAATTCGGTATTCGTGGCACATATTCGGTTTGTACTCCTCAAAGTACGCAACGTCGATGAAAGGCCAGGACCACGGATACTTGCCAATAGAGTGGCTGCCAGTTGAATAGGGAGTAAGTGTTTTTGAGGAGTTGAATGGGGCAAAGTAGAATTTATCTCGCAGACTCATTGTATAAGTTTGGAATTTTGGGGCAAGCTTTTTCAGGGCAGCTTGAACTGCTGGTCGATATTTAATGTGCAGCTTGACATCGACGTCATCATCCCAAGGAATAAAATCATGGTGTCGAATGGATCCAAGAAGAGTCCCACCGTCTATAAACCATTGACCGTCCAAATTTGCTTCAGTCATTGCTTTTTTGAATTCCTCAAGGAGAATTTCCAGTGTTTGTTGTTGGCCAACACTGGTTTTTATATCAAGTGGACTTAATTTGTCTACTTCCGCCCTCGTTGAAACATTAGGTCTTGTAAGGTTGGGCCAAGGAATTGAACTGAGATTGAATAGGTAACCAGAGTCAAATTCTTTGTTGGACGTTGCGCTGTGTAGGAAAATGCACGCGTATAACAATGCATCAAGTAATAAGAGAGATAATTGGTGCTTTCCACTCACTGAGCTCCATTGATTTCCCTTTTAGACATTAAATCCAATCTCCTATCAAATGTCCTGTGATGGAACTTTGCCACGTAAATGAAAATGCAAATTGTTAGCAGAAGTAAGGTGATTCGATCGCTGGTATTGTTTACCTGAAAGTTTTAAATACAGTTTGTTGATTAAGGAGACAATATCAATTAACCTATTTACTTAAGTCATACTTTTAAATAAATATTAAACCAGGCAAATTAAAATTATTGCTTTCATGGTCTTGAGAATCATGTATTTTTGGAAAATCGATGTAATTTAATATATTAAAAACCTACTGATTTAAACATTCCTTTACTCACGATCCTGATGTATGCAATGAGATGATTATTTGCTTAATGTTGACAAAAGTGCGTCTGTGTACTGAGTTCAAGATTAAGTAAGGACCTTACTGGTTAAAGAGTTTATGTGGCATTGGGTGTACCTTTTCTCATTCAAAACCGGATTTTGTGTTGTGGTGTGATTAGTGGAAAATAGAAAATTCATTCACTATTAGCAATTGGGAAAGAATTGGCTAAGAAAACTCTTTCAAGTGAGCATAATTTGGTCACATTGATGGAAGTTCGATTCAAGAGTTCTCAGGTGGATGAATAAAGTCTATTTGTACCTAATTAATCTACCTCCCAGCTTGATTCCATTTTGTGCTATTTAGTCAAATTCAAGAATAGACACTAACCGTTGATTAAAACAAAGGATCCTATGACTAAAATCTGGATGCCCATATCGCTAAACACGGGGTTCGTGATAGACTTACCTACACGGGGTGCACGCTGGACAACGTTTAATCAAAGGCCGTAAAAAGTCTATAAACAGGCAGTTGACTTCTCATTCCAAACTACCATGACCCTACCGTATGTCATATTCAACCATCTTCACAATACTCATCTTATCATTTTTTCCTACCTTTATGTCTATCTCGCTTACATCTGTGAACCACCCCTTTTTTCGTCTCTCGACTTTTGTGACTTTGATGTTCCTCCTCCACCATTGTGAAGCCCCTAGTCAGCTAAAGAGTTTATGATAACTATCGTGAAGACTGCAATTTGATGTAAATAATACTGAATAAATGACAAAGTAATGAGGATGGACATGTTTTGACTCAGTATTTTGATTGTGGGAGCACGATATTTTGTATGAATTCTCATCTATTCCAATTAATACGAACCTTTTGGGTAAGTGGATGAAATCAAAATTAGATTTACACTTCAAGTATCAAGTATTAAGTATCCAGAACTAAATTGAATCACATCTAATAACTCTAAAGCGTACCTTGACAGTTAGATAACTAATCTTAATATTGAGGGCTTTCACCCCGACACACCCTCACACCCTGGAGAGGGGTAAATTATGGAAGTTCAATTTAATTTCTGAGAGAAATTGCATGTGTTCTAAACGTTTAAAAGAGTGATATGCAGGCTACGAGATCCAAGTTAAGTAAATTTGCAATTTGTATTGAAGTTATACATATATATACATATATATATATTTTTATCTATTTATTTATTTATTTCAAATGGCAGGCTTTATGATATTTCTCATTAGCCCTCAATCTTTGACTTCGGCTTCCACCAAGAGGGAGGGTGTACATTTATAGCAGTTAATTAATAGCAGTTCATTAGCGTCTTCTTGCTTCCGGTATCTCTGGCTTTCCGTTCTTGTCTTTAGGGCTGGACACTGAATCAGGTGAGTCTTCTCCATTTCCTCATGTAGGTTACATGTAGGTTACATACTCCCAATCTGTGTAGATGTTTTGCCAAGCAATCGTGTACGGTACGTAATCTAAACTCAGCAACAGCTTCGATTCTTGGCCAGTCGGCTATGTCGGAGAGTGCCACTGTCCACTGTTTCCCTTTGTTCGAGCTTCCTCCTTTGTTCGAGCCTTGAGTTCGTTGATCCACTGTTTCTCCTTTGTTCGAGCTTTAAGTTCGTCGCATCTTGAGGTCGGTCTCTCCTATAATTCGTTGCACACTGTCCACGCTGCACATTGAGGTCGGCTCTTCTGATTAAGACATTGTGTGGAAAGACATCGGTCGGTCCATGCATTGCAAACTCGTTGTTCCCTTCTTATCAAGTATGTCAGCAAGCTCATTGCCTTTAATGCCACAGTGACCAGGAATCCATTATAGGACCACTGTTTTGTTTTTCTCTCTCAAGAATCTCATTGCCTTTAATGCCACAGTGACCAGGAATCCATGGTAGAACCACTGTTTTGTTTTTCTCTCTCAGCAGCTGATAATAGGACCACTGTTTTGTTTTTCTCTCTCAGCAGCTCATAGTGGTTTCTACATTCCTTTATCTCAACTTTTTTGGGTGGCTCTCTACTGACTGTGAGTCCAAAAGTATCACCGCATTGGCGAATTTCGTATCCAGGCAACATAATTGACATAGTGCTATCCTAATGACCTCTATTTCTTCTTCAAATGGGGATCTATTATGTCCCGCTGCTGCGTAGAAAGAGAAGAGTTCAGAATAGACATCTGCACCAACGTTTTCTTGGTTTTCTTTGTATGATCCATCAGTGAAATCTTGGAGCCATTGATCTGCAGGATATTTGACATGGATTGTCTCAAGGGCCAGTGAGCGCATTTTTAGGGGTGTTTGATTTCCTGATGAAGTTAAGCAGTTGAGTGCAACACACTATATAGGTAGATGGTACTCCATCAGTGTCTGCTAATGGGTTCATGGGTAGAGAGACGTTTGGTATGATCGATTTGTAACGTGTATTAAACCAGATTGCGTTTTCAGATGTCTTGGTCTATAAGACCAGATTGCGTTTTCAGATGTCTTGATCTATTCTCATAGTGCTGAAGAACATAACCATGGGAATGCGCAGTAACTTCTTATACAAGATCAAGGACTTTTCTTTGATAAGGGAACATATTGTGGTGCTTCATGTAACCAGGAGCAATGCCTCAATGGGTGTTGATTTTATCCCTCCAGTAATTAGTCATAATGCTTGGTTGTGTGCCTTCTCGAGTGGTTTGAGAGTCACCTCTGTGACTGTAATGAGTGGCTCACAGCAATACAACATTATTGGCTGAATAAACATCTTGTAGTTGGTGTTTAGAGTTGAGCGTGCACAGCCCCATACCCTACTAGCAAGACGCTTCAGCACATTCCGTCTATTGGAGACTCGATCTGCTACTTTAGCAATGTGACATTTCCACGTTAACTTTGTGTCAAACGTCATTCTGAGATAAGTGAACTCATTTGTCTTTTCTATGGTAGTATCCTTGTACCTTAGAAGCTGGTTTGTTCTGTGACGGGCCAAAGAAAAAGTTTGGAATGCGGTGTTGATTACCATTCCATTGTTGTTGCACCAGTTTGCTAGTAGTTTAAGTGCACAATTAAGAGCACTTTCCGTCCTCTCCTGAGCACTTTTCTCAGGGGCAGAGTACCATAGAACAAGATCATCTGCATACAGTAAGCACTTGATGCCCTGGACTGTCTGTAATAATTCGAATATGTCATTGATGGAGACATTGAAAAGTATGCAGCTTGTGAAAGCTCCCTGTGGAAGGCCTGTTTGTAAGGTTGTGAACTATAAGACATTGAAAAGAGTGCAGCTTGTGACAGCTCCCTGCGCAGCCCGAGTGCAGCTTGTGAAAGCTCCCTGTGGAAGGCCTGTTTGTAAAAGATTGGATTTTGATAGAGCATTTCCATATCTGACTTTGCACGATCTTTGTCCAATGAATGCTTTTATCCAGTTTTTCATGTCATGCTTAATACCAATCTTTGCCAATTTTAGAATTAGTTTCTCTTTCCATATTGATGAATATAATACAGTCGCTCTAATCTTCTGTTATCATTCAAAGCAGAAGTGGCTCGAGCAAGATTCCAATAGAAGTGATCGGCAACTTAAAAATCCGTCGAAATACTCGAAGCCTGCTCAGTGCTCTTGAAATGATCTTGTCTGACTTTCACCTCGCTTTGAATGAAGACATCATCTCGTTTTAGTCTACTACTAAAATTGCTTCCCAAAGAAGTCTCGTTCGATTCAGTATCTACTGATAAATTAAAATAACAAACGATGCATCTCTCGTTCTATCTGTTTTCACCCCCAGATTTCAACTATTTTGTAATTTTTATGTTCCAGAGACTACCGGTGACAGTTTAGAATAGTTGCTGCTCATTCCATTTGTTCACTTCTCTTCACTCTTTGCCTTCTTTAAACTCTATTAAATTGTACCTCCAATTGGCAACAAAGATATTGCTGCACAAACAGCTTTGATATATTGTGATGGCTTATAATTGATTTCTCGCTCACGATTCTAAGGGCCAGCAAAATAATAACTAGATGGAGAAAAGAGAGTAAGGTTCTGTATGCTGATATGACCGGGTTGAATCTCTTCTGGTTGGAGATAATTGACACACAATCAAGCACATCACAACGTGTGATATGCACTAACAGTTCACTTAAATTAGAAAAAAATTGAACATTTACCTTAATCTTCTTTGTACTTGATCGAAGTGCTTCCCCATTTGCGTACAAAGACATTGGAATACAAATAGCATTAGTATATTGCGTTGGATAAAAAGTGATGTACCTGTTCTAACCATGGTTTTCTGTGCAAAATAAGTATTTACCATTGAATCTCGCTCACAATATTAATTGCCTGCTAAATGATGTCAGGATATCAGGTCTGGTAGAATCCATTTGACCCAGTCAAGCAGTGGTTTTCTTCATAGAGATATTAAGAAGGAGAAAGAGAGTGAGGTTTTGTTTGTGGGCAATCGAAGGTTGAATTTGGTCTTGTTGAATCCAATTGACCTTGTCAAGTCCATCACAACGTGCAGTACAATAGTAAACATCAAAGTTATTTTGATCAGAGGAAGTTTAATGCGATCTTTTAGCCATATCATTTGTGCAGGGAATAGAGTCAATAATAAAGTGTCTCCTCCTTGTCGAAATGAGGCTCCATATTTTGGAAATAGG